TAATCAATTGAAGTTATAAAGGATGTTAGGTAAAAGTTAAAAAACACTTGTTTTAAAAGTAAATTTTTTTTTATAAATTTTAAAATTTTTAAAGAAATTAAAAATTAATTTTTAAAAGTGTTTTTAAACAAGTTTCAAAAAAATTTTAAATGTATAACTTTTTAAAATTTATTTAAAAATTATTTAATTTCCCTCTAACAAAATTTTAAATTTATAAAAGAAAAAAAATTACTTTTTAATCTCTACCATACACCCTCATAATTGGCTTGGTAATCATCACTTTTTAGTTGTTAAATCTAAATTAAAGTCTTTAATTAATTAAAAAAATGCAATCAGCTACTTCATTTAATTATTAATGAATGAGAAGTATTAATAGGTCTATTAGATTAGAGATTCACTCCTTTATCAATCAATAACTAAAAGTAATGTAATCCACATTACGAATTCTCTTAATTAATTCTAGTTCTTAATAGGCAAAAATATGACATAAGGATCCGAACTTACACCAAATTCACAATTTCGGACCCAAACTTAGATTGCGCTCAATGAAGGTCCCGAACTCCACGAAATTCTCGAATAAGGTCTCAATTGAATAGAAAACTAACTTCCGATCAAATCTCCTATTATTCCGTTAATGTTCCGTGACATTTCACACCCGCCACTTGAAAAGAATTGGTTAAATGCTAATTTTGATCCCTCAACTTCATTGAGTTTCACTTTTTTGTCCCTCAACTTCATTAAATTTCACTTTTTTCCCTCTTGTCCCTCAATTTCATTAAATTTCACTTTTTTATCCCTCAGCTTTATTGAATTGTACTTTTTTGGTTCATAAATTTTTTTTATACTTTTTTGGTCCTTAAATTATTTTTTACACTTTTTTAATACCTTAACTTTAATAACTGCACAATTTTGATACTTTCATCAGTTTAAGCCATTAATTCTATTCACTTGGTATTTTTTATATTTTTTTGATGACATATATAATCTAATTGAAAAAAAATGATAACATAAATCATCTAACTAGAAATAATGATGATATGGATAAATAAAATAATATGTATATAAATTTGTATATTTTTAATAAAAATAAAAAACCTCTCTACCTATTTTCTTCCCCCTCTTTCTTTCTCTTTCTTCTAGTAGGAGAAGAAAATAGGTGGAGAGGTTTTTATATTTTTTTATAAAAAAATATAATGATTTATCTATATATTATTTTATTTATCCATGTTATTATTTTTTTCTAGTTAAATTATATATGTCATCAAAAAAATATAAAAAATACCAAGTGGACAGAATTAATGGCTTAAACTGATGAAAGTATCAAAATTGTACAGTTATTAAAGTTAAGGGATTAAAAAAGTATAAAAAATAATTTAAGGACCAAAAAAGTATAATTCAATAAAGTTGAGGAATAAAAAAGTGAAATTTAATGAAGTTGAGGGACAAAAAAGTAAAATCTAATGAAGTTGAGGGACAAAAAAGTGAAACTCAATGAATTTGAGGGACCAAAATTAGTATTTAACCAATTTTTTTCAAGTGGCGGTGTGAAATGTCACGGAACATTAACGGAATAATAGGAGATTTGAGGGAAGTTAGTTTTCCGTCCAATTGGTACCTTATTTGAGAATTTCGTGGAGTTTGAGACCTTTATTGAGTGCAATCAAAGTTTGGGTCCGAAATTATGAATTTGGTGTAAGTTCGGGTCCTTATGTCATATTTTTGCCTTCTTAATATTTTTCGTTGTAAATGAATTGAGCTTTTAATGAATGCTTCAAGCTAAATTTTAATCTCAATTGAACTCGAACTTAACAGCAAAAATAACACAAAAATTTGAAGTTAAATTTGTTTGACCCTTTGAGTTGAATATGAATTCTGAAAATTTTGATGGTATAATTTTTTCCTAATAATAAAATTATAGATAAATTAAAATAAAAAGGCAAAAATCAGGATGTTTAATTCTAAACATACTATAGATGAGATTTGGATAAAATTCACATTGATCTCACTTGTCATGTGACTTTAATTTAATGTTCTAATATTTATATTTAATGTCAAAATATCTTAATTTTTAATATGTTTTAAACTTAAAATTATTTAAACATAAATTATACTAACAATTTAGGTTTCAATTGAATATGGAGAGATTCGACAGTCGAGTGAATAAGAACTTGAACTTATAAGATCTCCTCAATTCATGTTTTTTTAATATGGGTGAAGGGGAATTTTTCATTATATAAACCATTGAATACAGCAAAAAAGGAAAGCATAAAGGACTAATTTTGATAATAAATAAATTTAAGGATAAAAAGTATAAAAGAAAAGCAAATTTGATGGCACCTCGAGTTTACCATTAACTCAATTTAGGACCAACATCTTAATTTTAATTTAAGATGAGTTTGTCTATCTTGTGCCTTAAAGAAGTATGTCAAAAGTACATTAAATATAGTCTTTACAATTAATTTACATAAAAATAATAAAAATAAATTTTTATTTTAGTGTCAGTGTTACATTAACAGTTTTAATTAGTCAATTAATTAAATTTAAATTAACTTTTATTAATTTTTATATAAATTAATTATAAAAAAATGTATTTATCATATCTTTAACCTACACCTTAATGGCATACGATAGTAAAATTCATTTAAGTTTATGTCATTACCCCTGGCCATTAGTCTGGCCCAATTTTTTGTACCTTTTATTTAATAGTAAAAAAAAACCAAACCAAACCAAACCAATGACTTGTTGATTTTTTTTTTTTATATACTAACCTCTTGGTTTTTAGAAATTACATTAGATTCCAATTAATATAAAATCGAGTCATGTCAAATCTCATAAAAAAGAAGCTCTCTCAGCACCTATTTCTCTATTTACAAAACTCGAACTCGAGACCTTACTTAAGGGGAGCTGAGTTCCTTTCATGTGGATCAACAAGGCATTGGTCCAATGACTTGTTGATTTGAGTAAAAGGAACTCGATCAAATAAGGTTCTGAATTCAAGTTTTGTAAATGAAGAAAGCTTCCGTCTTATGGTGTTTGATGTGACACGATTCTAAATTAATTGAAAACAATGTGATTGCCAAATACGAAGAGGTTAGGAAAAAAAAAAAAAACAAACAAACCAAACCAAACTAGACTATTGCCTATTGGGGTTGACAGGATCTGAACTCAGTAGCCCTTGGTGGCGCCATCGCCCCCATCATCTTTCCATCTTAGGCGGCTAAACCCTTCTACAGCCTCTTTAAACCCTAGATCAATATGTCTCCGCCGTCCACTGCCACAAAATCTAAATGAAGCAAACTTTCAAATTAGCAAACGCAGCCCAAATCATGCTGCCATGCCTGCATGGATACTACCCTTCAATGCTCAAATCCCCCTTTCCATTTACCCTCATCAGTTCCACATGTAACACTTGTTCCCGGGAACTCTTTGGCCAGACCCACTATTCTCCGCTACCTGGCAGGATTCCCAAAAGCATCCTTGAGTTGTTCATAGACAAGTTCTCTAACCCAGAGTACTTTTCGAAGGACGATTTGATTGCTCAGGTCTCTAAGTTGAGAGACGAGTTGGTGCAGTACGTTGATCATTTTGACGGGGCGACTAGTGTTTTAGGACAAAAAGCTAATTGCCTGATTAGTGGTTTTGCGGGTGGAAGAGGTTTTCTTGAGCTATTGAAACAACTGTTTGCTTGGCCTCACCTCGCTCTGGAGGTGTGACCCCATTTCATTTTCTCTTCTTTTGTTTATATTTTGATCTAGAATCCTACTTCTGCTTTTTGCTTCTTTCCTTTAATTTTGCATCATTTTAATTTGTGATGTTGTTAGATTTATCCTTCTTTGACTAAAGGGTTTTTTTTTTTTTTTTGCCAATTTATGAGTACTTGAATCCCATTTTCTATTGTAGAAGACTCTATCTGAATCTTATTTTATTTTGGATAAAATTTGAATGAAGCATTTCCTACTAAATGGCATTGGTTGAGTTTTTTTGGGGCATGGATGGAACCATTTGAATTGTAGATGTACCTGTGCTTTAGGGTTTGGTCTGGGATTCTGTGGAGTTGATTACTAAGAAAATTTCAGTCATCATTCTATACGACATGGTAGCTATAGTTTCCTCTTCTATTTCATAATGGGAATTCTTATACATTATATGATCTTGTGGCATGTCTACACTTAACAGTTGTGTAGATGTATGTCGTTTTCCTCCCTGCAATTATGCTTCTTGATAGATATGTTATATTTCTTATCTTTAGGTTTTTAAATGGAGAAGAAAACACTCAGAGCACTGCAATCATATGACCTCAGAAGAATATTCTAAGGGTATAACACTTGCTAGTAAGACAAAGAATGTAGATATTACGCTCGAGCTATTTGATGAGGCTACTAATAAGAAACTCAAGGCAACATTTATCTATAATGCACTAATGAGTGCATATATGGACAATGGACTTGTAAAGAAATGTTAGTTATTGTTTAGGGACTTGAAAATAGACACAAGCTACGCCTCTTCAATTGTAACATACAACATTCTGATATCATTATTTGGTCACTTGATGTTGGTAGACCACATGGAAGCAGCATTCTAGGACACTCAAGATTTAAATCTATCTCCAACTATAAGTACCTATAATAGTTTAATTTTTGGATATCTGATAGCTTGGATGTGGACTAGGATGGAGAAAACCTTTTAGATGATTGAGGTGGGACTGGTTAGGTCAGATTTCAACACTCACTTGCTAATGCTCCAAGGGTATGCACATTCAGGGAAATTGGATAAGATGGAAGAGACATATGAGGTGATTAAAGCTTATTTAAATAACAAGGAAATCAATTCTATCCTAGCCATGATATGTGCATATTGTAAGAGTTCAGCCAAGAATAAAGTTGAAAAAATTGAAGCACTAATGAAGTTTATTCTAGAAAAGAAGTATTGGTCTTGGTTGAATGTGATCTTGATAAAGGTTTATGCTCAAGAGGATTGTTTAAAGTGTATGGAGAACCTGATTAATTTGGCATTTGAGCATCAGACCATTGTGCTGTCATATGGAATAATGCGTTGCATCATTGCAACTTGTTTTTGATGTCATGTAGTTGATAGACTAGCAAATTTTGTGAAGTGTGCAAAATTCACTAAATGGAAAATCTGCAAGTTTTTATATTATGGTAAAATGGTTATATGTGCATCAGAGAAGAGATTGGAAGAAATGGAGAGTGTCCTTAATGACATGGATGATCCAAATGGACTGGACAAAGAAGACATTCTGGAAATTGTATAAGGCATACTCAAAGTGGGGTCAAAGACAAAAGGTTGAGCAAGCAATAAGGTTGATGTGCAAGCACGAGTATAGGATTCCTTTTGATGCATCTTCATCGTGATGCACATTTGACACAACAGCATGCTATTAGAAGTTGCAAGGAACATTTAGCCAATTACCATAAATCGTTCATGAAATTTGTCATGAGGAATCAAGACCAAAATAATCCACAACTACACAATTTCTCTCAACTCAAGCCTTTAATTCCTTATTTTATATGGTCTTAGTTGTTTTAAGGTCTCTATTGTTATATGTTTTGAAGACCTCCTTATTATTGTTGCCTTTAAAAAATTTGTTGAAATTTGTAGTCATCTTGTAAACCTTTGCCCAAGTCCAGCACTATTTGTAGAGAAACCATTCTATGGGTTCTAGGTTCAAATTCATGTAGTTGGTAGGGAATTCTACACAACTGTTAGCTGAGAAAGGTGGAGTTGGGGGATAATGAATCAATTATTCTTCTGATAGATATTTGGTGACATATGGGTGTATGTTTATTTACTTCCTCTTCAGTTTTTTGCTAGAGATTTTTTATTTCTTCTTTTCCAATATCAATAAAAGAAAGCAAACAGACCCTACAATGGTTGATACTGGTAGACTAGAAGAATAAAATGTTCTTTGAGTTTGACCTGCATGGAAACTCTGATATACAGGAATGTTCTGCAATAAATGTGTTTTGTTATAATTTTTTCTCAATACAAATCTTCATTGATGGTAGGTTGTCTTGCTGTAAAGGAACAGTAGTCCTAACTCAATTGCTCTAAGGTGAATGAGCTGAACTTTAATAAGGACCCATTTATTTGAAGTGTTTAACTGTTTTGAGGATGAGGAAGCAATCTAAGGAGTGTGTGTTTACCTCACATGGTTATGTAAGCAGTTGTGCTGAAGAGAAATTTCAATGGCAATTTGCATATCTAGCTTCTCTAAGTGAACTAACAATGCTTACCTCTTATTGGGTTCATCCTTCATGGAAGGAGGGAAGAAATTCATTTGAAGCATTAAAATGGCAAAGAACTAGTTTTATTCCTTAACTCCACTGACTCGCTGGGCACCTTATCCTTCCCAAAGGGTAAAATGAAAAAGAAAACACCTTTCAGATGTCAAAATTGTTTATTTCACTTGGAGTAATCTATCTTCATTTAGATATTCTTCTCATATGACTAAGAATTTTGAATTTCTACCTTCTTTTGTCCTGCTGTTATGTTGACTTGAATGGTTGACATTCTTGAAACTTTGTCAAGATGCTTGTTATTCTATAGTTTTTAAATGATTGATTGGCCTTCATTTTATTGCAAAAACTTCATTTTTTGATTAACCAAGATTACCTTTAAGCTGATTACTTACAAAGAAAAATGAAATTCAGCAACATGTTTGGGATACTGGTTATTGCACAAAATCTCTGCTTGCCTCCACATCATTTAACTACTGAGAAATTTTTTTAAAAGGGAAGCATTGAGGAAGTAATAAAATCTTCACAATAAATGTTTGCTACAGCTGCTATTTTTTAGTTTTTTTAGCTAATTAAAGAAGTTCTGGTTGAAGTAACATAATGTTTTTCCCACTCAATTATGTATCCAACGTTTATATATATATATATAGGGATATATTCTGTGAAAAGTCTAACCTACCCTCACACAATATATACATATACATTAACATCCCTTGCAATTTGTGTGGGACTGCAAAACACACTCAAATTGTTCCATTAAGACTTAAATTATGGTGTGGAAAGAGTTTTAGTGAAAACATTAGCTCGTTGATAAAAAGAGGGAACATAGTGATCACAATCACACCACATGCAACCTTTTCTCGAACAAAATGAATGTCAATCTCCTCATGTTTGATGCGCTGATGTTGAATAGGATTGATAAACAAATAAATAGCACTAAAATTGTCACAGTAGACCATCGGAGCAAGAAGAAAGATCACAAACAATTCCAAGAGTAATTGTCATACCCAAAGGACCTTAACAATTGCATTAGCAATAGCCTTGTACTCAGCCTCTGCACTAGAACAAGAAATAGTTGGTTGTTTCTTAGATGACCAAGAAATGAGAGAATTATTGAGAAATAAACAGTAGTCGGAGATGGAGCATCGAGTATCTAAACAGCCTACCTAATCAACATCAATATACATCTGTAAAAAGAGTGAAGAATGACGGAAAAGTTGCAAACCATATGCCAAAGTGCCTTTCAAGTAGCGCAAAATATGTTTGATAGCTTGAAAATGATTAGTAATGGGAGCATGCATGTATTGACACACCTAATTGACTGCAAAGGAAACATTTGGGCAAGTAAAAGTGAGATATTGAAGGACACCAACAATACTACGATAGTGAGAGGGATCATAATATAAAGGAATATCATTGGCATCCAACTTTTGTTTCTAAGCCATAGGAGTTGCAACAAGTTTACAGTGCATCATACCCAATCGAGCAAGCAAATCACTGATATACTTAGGTTGAGAAAGAAACAAGCCATCAGAATTAAATTGAGCATGAATTCCCAAGAAAAAATTCAATTGACCCAGATCAATCATAAAAAATCCAGCCTTCAACATAGAAATAATAGTATATAGCAATGAATGTATAGAAGTAATAATGATAATATCATCCACATAAAGAAAAAGAATTGCCATCATGCTAGCAAAACAATGGACAAACATAGACCAATTAGATTTAGCTTAAATAAAGCCTTGAGAGAAAAGATAGGAGGCAAACTGTTGAAACCAAGCACAAGAGGCCTGTTTGAAACCATAAAGAGCTCGTTGCAATTGACATACATGATCCAGATGAGATTGGTCAACAAACCCAAGAGGTTGAGCCATATAAACCGTTTCAGGCAAATAACCATCCAAGAAGGCATTTTTGACATCAAGTTGATGAATAGGCCAAGATCACATAATAGCAAGAGCAAGCACAGTTCGAATGGTAACAAGTTTAACAACTAGACTAAAAGTGTCATCATAATCATACTTGGTTGTTGAGTGTATCCCTGAGCAACTAATCGAACTTTTAATCTTTCAACACTACCATCTACTTTGTGTTTGATGTGAAAAACCCACTTGGAACCGACCACATTGGCATGACGCAGGCAAGGCGCCAACACCCAGGTTTTATTGCAAAGTAAGGTTGAATATTCCTTGCTCATTACTTTCTGCCATTCTAGAGATCTGTTGGCTTCTTTGAAATTTGCGCGACTTCAGCCACTCAATGGTAGCGGTAAAGAAAGAAGGTAAAAGCCAAGACTTACGTGTGCCATCCTATGAACGGGTCACCATGGGATGAAAGTGGGAAAGAGGCTTTGGCGTAAACGATGGGGTAGCAAACTCGAGAGAAACTTGTGAAGAGGAAGCAAAAACAGCAGATGCCTCCAAATTCTAGGTTGGAGAAGTTTCACAAGTGGAGTGGGAACCCAGAGATGGTGGAGATGGCATAGACAAGGAAGGGAGAGTATTGGAGATGGGTGGCAGAATCCCATGAGAAGAAGGGTCAGATTTGCAGTAATGGGAATCAGGGTGTGGCAAAGAAGATGAGCCATTCGATGGTCTTGGGCTAGCTGTGTCATTCGGTGGGCTAAAAGGGGTATAGGTAATGGGTAATGGGTAATGGGCTAGATGAGTGAATGAGTTGGGCAAGCGGTGAAGAAGGGGTAAACGGGCTAAGAGGCTGATCCAGTAAATGGAAGGGAGCAGCGAAAGCAAGTTTGGCTAGTGCATGGGGTGGTTTTAAAAAGGAATGAATAGTACATGGAAAAATAGTTTCATCAAAGGTCAC